CCCACCCATTCTGAGTATGGATACAGAAAATTTTATTTATTGAACAGATGCAGATAGTTGTGTACTTGCTCATCCATACTAATTATACACTGCAGATAAGTCATATGTTCAAATTCCAACCAAAATGTAGACACTTCTGTGGTAAACAAGAGTCGTGCCACCGGTGGAAAGGGTTCCTGACAACGGCCTTAAGACCCTTTCAGAAAGGAGGTGATTGCTGCTGCTATTTTGCATTGCTCAGTGTACCAACAAACTGCCTAGCCATGTTGCAAGCTGTTGTTGTGGTCTGTCTGCAAAACCATTTTATGTTTAAACTGAAACAAATTAGGAAATTAAATCCCTTGAAATGGAAAGTACTATTAATTTGGTTAAGTTATTTTAACTTAAAATTATGAGTTAGAGTAACTCCAAGTATGAAGTTGAATTTATAAAAAACGACATTGACTGGGGGGAACTAGAACACTGTAGTTTTATCAATGTTATAAACTTGAATTTATGAGTTGAAAATTGGCAATCTTCTAGTTGAGTTAACTTGCATTTTCAAGGCAGCAGGTGAGGTGATCCTAACTTACAAATGTGAGTTGAAAGGATATAGAATTGTATGTTTCTTTGGCAAGAGAAAGGAAGTTGTAATGTAACATATAGTTGTTTTAAATTGCAGTATTAAGTTCAAACAAGAAATGATCTTTAATTAAGTAAATTATATATTGTCATATGAGTTGAAATAAAGCTTTTCTTAAAGTTGAGTTTACTCACCTCTTTAAGGCAGCAACTAACTAAGTTTTTAAGTTGAACCACCTTGATCATTTTTACAGTGTTAAATTTTATTCTGGATTTTACAGGGAGCCAGTGCCAGAGTCCTTTGTCTAATGCAATTAGTGGGTCATTTTTCACTAGTGCTGCCTCATGCCTCAGTATTTCTAAAATATTGGTTATGGCCCTGCGTCCGAATGGTACGGAAGCCCAGAACAGCCATGCTTGCAATTTTTGTTAATGCTGTTACATCAAGATTCAGATTCATTCTTTATTGTCCTCAGTGGAGGAAATTTGTTTTCAGTCTGTACAACGAGCACCTTCAACATGAATACCACACACCACCCATTGTTCAAAAACAATGTAAACATTGTCTCGAGCGATAACAAGATCATTATAGACAACTAATGAAGTTAACAATCACAGCAGGATCACTGAAGTGTACTCGCCAGTGAAGATACAGCGGGGCAAGGACTAAACAATTATCTTTAACAGAAAGACATAAGTTCTGAAAGAAAGGCAAGTTCTGTCTGTGTTAGACTTGACTAAAGTACAGTCAGATATGTTGATCAGTAATGGGTACTCCTTGATCTGACATTTCAGCTTAAATCAGTTGTTGTCAAGACGCCATCTATGTATGCTGGCATGGCACTCCTGATCTCTGATAAACATAAGTAATAAGTGAAAACAACCACGGCTGAATTTGGGCCGGATCCTGCAGTAACAGGATCTGGGTATGTAACAGGGTGTGTATGTAGGTGTGGTACTGTACACAGTACTGACACACAGGGGAGGAGATTGATAGAAAGACAGAACACGTCATTTAGTTTGGTTTCTTAGCCTGATACCTTTTTGTGGCTGTAAATAGAATTTTCTGCCCCAACTGATGAAATGAACAGGGAAGTGAAGGGGGGGAGAGAGAGAGACATAGCTCCCCCTGCTGATAAATGTAAATAAATAATGTTTTGTTTCTGATGACAGTTTAGGTCAGCTATCACCTAGGCATTGTCCAATATACTGAAGGCACTGTGGATTTCTGATGCACTCCCTGACTGAAGACACAAAATCCAAGAATTGAGAATAGCCTCATCTCTGTGGTTGTTCAAACCAACAAGAACTAATGTTACCTCGCAATGCTAAAACACACGCTCCACTTTGATGGTGAGTAAAAAGCTCACAACTCTGCCTAGATAGCTAGGTGGTGGTGGTGGTGGGGTCATTCAGAGAGTCAATCAGGAGCTGGTATGCCAGTGGCAGGTAAATCAGCCTATGCTCTCTACCACCCCACCTTATTCTCCTCCTGTGTTGTTGCAAAGTTTCAGAGCAACAGAGATGCAGAGTGTCCCCATTCCCAAAGCAACTCAATCCTGCCTGCACATGCACGGTGTGAGAGAGAGGGGGCGGGGATAGCTACGTTTGCCGCAGATTCAGTGGTTGTATGAGCTCCTAATGTTTATTCATTTTAAATATTTTGGCAGTAGGTAGGCAGCAGACTAAACCACTGTGAGGCATATGAGGGGTGTAGGCTGGTTCCCTACCATCTCTACCAAATTCTACACCCATGGTTGCTGTTCTAACTAACAGGAGCTAAGTGGCTAAATTGACCCTTCACTAAGCCCCGCCCCCCTTAGTTACTGTTGCTAAGTCCGCCAAACTGTTGGCATTGCCACTGTCTATTACTGCACTCCCTGGAGAAATATTGTCAAATTTGTTGGAAAAAGCGATCTCACAAAGAAGCAGACACTTTTGCAGTTGCATTATACATTTGAAGGTTGTATTGAGGCTGTCAAACTGACTCAAACTGACTCAAATGGAACTGAAAAAAATGAAAGATTGAAGCTAAAGCCTAAAGTTACTGATCACACAGTACAAGTGAACCTCTGCATCCCCCGACTATTGAGACAAAAGACAACGATTGACAACTTTGCTTAACAAAGGGTCAGTTGGCTTGTGAACTTTAGAGAGGCAGGGGTACCTGATTGGCTGAAAGGTGAGAACAGCACTGTCAAGAAAAGTGACATATGATGAAATAAAACTTGACATCAAATGTGTTATAGGGAAAAATACCCTAAAGACATAAAAACAGACTTTTAGGCCAACTATAAGTTAATATTCACTTTTTCCCCACCAGAATGAGATCCCTGGCAATGTGGAGACTGAAAGAGCATTTAGATCGGCAGAGACAAGAGCTGACTGAATAAATAGCCTACTACCAGAGATGGGGACTCAAGTTTGAGACTCGGACTCGAGTCCGACTTAAGTAGCACACACAGTCACTTCAAACTCGACTTGAGACTCGTCTTCAAAAGACTTCAGACTGGACTTGGACTCGAGGTGCGGGACTCGTTTATGTTTTAGGAAACGTTTGATGAGATTTCTGTTATTCCCCTCCCTACAACCTGCCTACGTAACACGTAGTATCAGCTACGCGCGGCCACATGTGAGAGAGGACAACAAACAGCGGCAGCTGCTGAGCCATTCATCGTAAACTTTGGCCTTAAAACTTCATACAACAAGACCCAAACAAAGAAGCACTGAACGCAAAATAGGTTAGTAATCTGATGTTAGTGAACATGTTTAGCTCAGCATTGGCGATCTAACGTTAGCTTGCTTCTTGCTTCAGCTACGACCTGCGAGAGGTTAACTCCGACTGTCATTCGTTATGAAAAGATGAATGAGCATTTGTTACTTGCCAAACTTCTGGCAGTCGATTAACGTAATCATTTACATCCCGCTGGCTGCCATCACGCTAATTATTATGGTCGGCTGCAAATAGGTTACAGTTTTTTGTTGATCATATAACATTACAGTTTTATTTAACATTAGTTAACATTACACTGGGTTTGAGAGTCTGGGGGTGTGTTGACTTACAGTAGTTAATAAGCTGTCATTAACTGCATTGCACATTACATAGTTGTGCTCTGTAAGTGAAAAACAGGTTACAGTTTACAGTCCTTATAGCTATGCAGTTTTATAAGCAGCCTGGTTTGAACGCAGCAGGTGATGCAGCATTCATTAGAACCACCAGTGACTTGAGGCTTGACTTGGACTCTAGCTCAGAGACTTGTGAGCATCTCTGCCTACTATATGAAAAATGTAATTAATTAAACAATCAATAGAAACGTTCGTTGTTTTTTCTTTTCACTTTAATTTAGTTGTATCATTAGCTATTTTTTCTGTTTTTTATATTCTGCTTACTTTATTTATGTTTATGTTATGTTTTTTCAGGTATTTTTCAATATTTTATCTTATTTTTGACCAGTAGTCTTGTGGCGTATTTGCAAGGCTAAAACCCTGCAAATCCGTGTGTTTTCAACAAATCAAGGAAATAGGAATACCCTTCGCACACACACACACACACAAACACACACTCTCTCTCTCTCTCTCTCCCTCACTCACACGCACACACACAGTGGGCGTTGCTTTCCTCCCGCTGGAGTAAATAGAGGCGGCGCTGCACCGCCACGGACAGGGAATGGCCGCGTCTGCGCTCCGACACCGGCTGACACGTTGCGGTCTGCTCCATCACTTCACTGCTCCGGACTGCGCGTATCACAGGCTGCGGGAGTAGAGACGGATTACATGCTACAGGTCAGTAGGTCTCCCTGGACTCTTTAACACTTTTTTTTTCTGGGGCTGGTGTGTTTGTGATATTGTGGAGCATCCAGACTGGGTAACTGGGGGTGTAATTTGGCCGCTGCGAGCCACAGGTGTGCTGAGAAAGATCCGTGTCCGTGCTTGCGGTTTCGGCGTGGTTAGCGCGTGCCGCTGTGGACTCACAGCTGTCACTGCGGACTGAAGAGGCTCACGGTCCGTATACATCATGTCAGCCTGTGTGTGCAGGCTGGAATGTTGAACGCGCGCCGCCAGTCCTGCCACGATTGTAGGGGCAAAGGTAAGTGGACTCTCGGTCAGTGCGCTGATGCTCCGTTTGCAGCACACGGTCTTTGAATTCCCGTCTTTAACTAACGCTTCATCTCACCGTGCGTGCGGCTGAATTCTGAAATGCAAACATTATCCTACTGTAAATAAAGTATGTAGCTGGTGTCTGCTGAGGCGCGCTGTCTCCACCAGGATAACAGTGAGGGCAGACCGGTGTTCTGCGTCGCTCCACCTCAAGATGCTGCCAGAACTCTGCTTTTCATTTGCGTGCAGAGATAAGACACATGTAGGTAGGCTGATGGATATTGTTAAAGTGGGTGGGATCTTGAACAAAGAAAGAAACTATGGCAAGAATATAACATGGGCATTTCCACCCAGCTGCTGTTCACCACCTGCAACAGCCATTTGCAGGTTTCACTTCTCTTGAGTCTATGGATGGCGCACATTGTTCAGGGGTATAGTTCCACACTGCCTCTACTCCAGAGGAAACAAGTGCACTGTGCTCTCCAGTCTCCATCAGACAGGTTAGTTGCCCATTTTCCTTCTTCATATCTGTAGGGGTGATGATTATCAGCTGTGTTGTCTGTGCAGATCTTTGTACTTCAGGCCTGTAACCATATTTTTTGAAATACTGAAGTCAATGGTTGAAATTCCAAACCAGCCTTATATTTTTCTTTCTCCACATTTTCTATATGCATTTTCTATGAATAAAACTTTGTGAATTTCCTGTAAATTCAACTCCCTACATGATTGTGTAGATGGCGTTTCAAAGCATTCCCCACAATACCTGAATATATCTGTAGTAGTGAAAGACTGGGATTTTTTTTGGGGGGGGTTAACACAGTAAAATTGAACCCTTTTCACTTGAGAGATATCAATATCAGTCTTAACAACTCAAATGGATAATTTGTGTGTAACTGTACTATAATTCCTCAATATCAACACTGTTGGGCTTTCTAAATACCCTGGTATACTGTGACACTACCCTGGCCTAACAAAATAACTCTACAGTTGCCGAGCCCGGTATTAAACTCTCTTGATGTCTGTACTTCACTGTGACATTCTGACGATGTTTGTCAGTTATTTGATACTACTTACTTGCCTAGTGCCTAACATGGCCTTGCACTGCCTTTTTAAACACTACTCCTTAGGCAGCTGACAGTGAGTCTGTGTTTGTGACTGCAAAATGTGGAGATCAAGTGGAATTTGTGCTTGGGCTGATGATCCGATGATGCCTCGGAGTTGTCTGGGGCTGACCGCTGCCTTCCTGTGTTCCCTTATCACCTTCAGTGTCCTCCAGAGAGGATGACATGATGATTATGAGGAGAGTAGCCGTATAACAAAGAATAAGAGGAGGAGGAGGAGGAGAAGGAGGAGGACATTCTTGTGGACAACAATTTGTGTCTAAGTGACCTGCTCTATAAAAAATGAAGGTTACACAACCAGTTGAGGCTAAAATAATACTAGCAAGAATAGCTTATCGGGTGGGTGGTGGTGATGATATGATGAAAGCAGAATATGAAAGTGTTGGACAATCTTGAAAACGAACTGGGGGACATCTCTCTCTGACAAATATACACGCTGCTGCCAGAACTGTTGTGTAACTGGCTGTGTGTGTGTGTGTGTGTGTGTGTGTGTGGGGGGGGGGGGGGGGGGGGGGGGCTGTTTTGAGGATGAGGGATTCCTTTTCTTATTATAGGCTTGCATAAATTATGACTCTGCAACTGTTAGCTGTTAAGATAATTTAAACTGGTAATGGGAAGATTTGTGTTTAAACTCATTTTCTGGATCACTGATAGAACTGAGTGGTGATTCAACTTAATCCATTTCATGAAAGCTTTGACATGTGTTGCATTACACACTGAGCGAAGTAGACTTCCCAAACCTACCACAAATTACTCTTGGGGCACAACATTTTGTGTCTCTGAATCTTTTTAATATGGCAGGGTATTTAGTATGAGTGATGTAAATGAGCAAAGTTGCGGTTGAGTTAGAAAGCACTGCCGCTAATTAAGGCCTGATGTTAGGCTGTTACAGATGCTTCTTTAACATGTCTGACTGAAATGAAGCACAAAAGAATGTGAAGGTTCTCTGCTATTTAATCTGAAACACTGGTTGGAAAAAAACAGGAACTGCAGTTACGCAGTTGCAAGAAAGAGAGAGTATTGGGGAGAAAATAGCAGTAAAATAATTCTGCTGGCTTAAAGAAGAGTATGGAATGAGTGGAAGCCTGTAAAATGTTCTCTGCAAATCCCAGAGTGCCTGTTGCACAGGAGGTGACTCCTTCTTGTTTGTTTAGAATAATGACTGTGTAGTTGGCATGAGTAATGATTAAGACAGTGACATAACTGAAAGAGCGAACAGCTCCACCACCACCTACAAAAAATTCAAAATTATTCTATTGGGATTTCTACACTAAAATGAACATTTTTTGATTTACTATATGTAAGGTTAAATGTGTTGCTTGTAATGATAAACCCACAAAGGCTATTGTTTTGGTTTTACAGTCCACAACATCACTATTTTCAGCCTGAGTTCTCCCCATCTACCTGATGTCCTTCAGCAGCATGCAGCTGATGCAGAGAAAGTTAGCTAGATGTGTATTAGGGCAACTGCTTGCTAACAGAGCTATTCCTCTATGACCCTTGAATGAATACTTTTTTGTGTTTTTTTTTTTTTTTAGGAAAGGGGCATGTACTCTTGGTTTCTGTAAAACATTTAGCAACACTTTTAAGCATCGCAAGTGGACAAGCAAAATTTACAAGGGACTACTACATACTCTAAAATCCACACCACCTTTATCTTTTGACCTTTCTTGTGTTGTCTATTGAATGCAATAATTTTCCAACATAAGGAAGACTACTCCAACTACTACTCTTGGCAGAGAAAAAGCTTACTTTCCAATGTAGGCTGGAGTTTCCACGAACACGTCCACACAGAGAGCTGCCACCGTGGATGACTAGGCCAACAGCCAAAGGCTACAGTTTACTTGAGGAAATCATCAGCTCTCTAACCTCAATTCAAAATGAGGATATTTTTCTCTCCCCTCTGGTCAGGCATGTCAGCTGCAGACTACTCTCTGCTTTCTCCTCTGCTCTGCTTTGGAGAATTATAGCTCCATATTTGTAGATGAAGTTACTTAGATGGAATCTAGTGATATATTTTTGACCCATCCATCAACTCCTTAATGGGCTGTGAAATTGTTGTTAACAGTTGTTTTCCTGCCTGTACTCGCTTCCCTGCAACAGAAGTTGGGTCAACCTGACTTCAACCCTTCTCCCCCTTCCATTGCATGTTCTTTAATTAATGAAATATAACAAAAATGAGGAGCTTGCATGGATAACTGGGTGTAACTTGATTCCATGCACTGCCAGGGCAGCTGCTCATGCTTAGTGTGCGAGTCTGTTATTTTTGTGGATTGTTGTAATCCAGACAGACAAAAACGAGACAGATCTCTACCTCCACCTGCATGTCCGTGCCACAGCAGCCTCTTAAAAGCTGACATAAAAATCACACAAAGCAGCCATGTGCTCCGCATTGTTTTGTTTGGATCCCAAGAATCCAATTTAGATCAAAGCACTGGGAAGAGGGGTGTAATGTAGAACACACCCAGTGCAGTTCTTGTTTACCCACTGTCTGAATTGCAGGGATTGAGTTTACCACCTTTTACAAGGTAAGGAAAAAACAGACAGATATAAATAGCATGCATAGTTTCAGCACATGACTAAATGGGGAAAAAGCTGACACAGATTATGTCGTAGAAGACACGACATGTTCATGTTCACCTCATGTAAATGGAGATGTTGTTTTTTTGATAACCTAGGTTGGATTCACTAAGTTTGGCAAATTGCGTGTGTGTATGTCCGTATAGTAACTGAAGGGTTGTATTCTTGTTATGGACGGCCAACCAATAAATGAAATTCGAATATAATTGATATTCAGCTCAGGTTTAAAAATCCAGTATCAGTCGGGAGACCGTTTTGATACAGCGGCTTTGACAGGTTTTTAGGATTCTATCAAATCCGTTGCTGAAAACAGGCACCTTTTTCCAGAAAAAACGCCTATAATAACATACCCAAAATGAATCAGGAATAACTTCTCAACCGTTTGGCCTAGATGCATAATTCTGGTTCTCCTTTGAAAAGTCAGAAGCTAAGGAATATAAATCCATTGTATATTAATATATTTTACCATTAAAGACTACATGGAGATGCAATAAAGAAAAAATCTATTTTCATAAAACAAGCTATATTTTAATGCAATAAACCATCAAAACCATCATAAGGAAGCTTATAATGCAATATACACCTAGAATGCAATTGTAACTGTTGTAAAATACAACAGTTATACAATATTTTCAAAATATACCAGGTAAGTTAGAATGTTGACTTTTTGTTGAAATATTGATAAAAACAATGAGTATTCATCAACATTCCTGTCACCAAAAGCACACCCATGCTTTACAGGCCTGTAGATTGACTTGGACATTTCACAATAAATGCATTGCAACAGTAGGATATTAAAACACTACAATACTGTTTAATAGGGGACAATTTTACAATGAATGCAGTTCTGCCCCACCTACTTTCTGCAGGACAGCCTCTATATGCTGCTGAACACACAGCATAAGTGGACTCCGTCCACACAGCCACAAAGTCTTCAACGAGCTTGCGTCTTACATCTGCAGATGTGGTTGCACTTCTAAGAGTTTGTTTAAGTGATAAGCTCTTGCTAGTGTGCCAACTCTAATCGATATGATTGTGTGATTGTGTGTATGACACTGAGCCATGCCCTCTGTGAAACTCCAACACAGAGAGCTGAGTACAAGAGCCTGTAAATGACCCCAAAACACAGCACATAGTTATTTTATGTTCAGTTGGCTTAAGTGCAGTGAAGAAAACACCGATAATGCCAGGGAAAACCCCGGGTTTTATAAATTGCATCCACATTTTGGCACATTCCATGATATTCCGTGTTGAACAGTTGATTTTGTCTGTGGTTTCCACATCGCAGCAATCCTAGGGCCCTATTTGTTATGTAAAACAAATCTTGTTCAGACTCATCTGTTGTGAACCTGAGTCGATTACATTTGTACACAACAGCAACAAACTTTTAAGAGCCACCTATCAAACCTGCAGGGGTTGAATTTGGGTTGAGGATGATACTCAAAGACAGACATGCAGTGGAATACTACTTTTTTAACAGGGAAAATATTTTTTTCTTCTGAAATATCTTTGTTTTCTTTAATAAAGACATGTCTGAAGGTCATGCCGTTCCCCTCCTTTTCAGTGAGAGCACTGGCTCCCAGTTATTGAGCACCTAAACTGCTCTGAGTTCGGTTTTAGGTCAGAGCAATCCTCAGATACATTGCCACAGCTGGATATCTTCTCTGTGAATTCTCCTCTTTCACACAGAGCAGCAGCCTCCAACATAGAGCACTGCTGAAGGTGCTTTGTAAGTATGTGTGTGTGAGTGTGTGTCTGCATGTGCATGTGAAGCTGCTGCAGGGCCTTTAAAAATGTCT